TGCTGGTTCTCTCCCCCTTCCTGTCATCACCCCATCAAAAGGAAAAAGAAGAAGAAGAAGAAGAGAAGGAATCGAGTAGTATAAATAACTTCAGCCCAGCCTTAAAGGGGAAATATTATTACAGCAAACAGGCTGCAAAAGCTGCTTCTTCTGCAAGAGCTGGTGGCTGGAGGACTTCCTGCTTTTGATTCCTGTCTTTCTCTTTCTCAGCTGGACATATCTTGGGTGACATTGAAAAGAGCAGCTTGAGGTTCATAGGGCTGCAAGCCGCACTGCAGAAATAATCCAGTTTGATCCCGCTTTAGCTGCCAGGCTCCAGGCTATGGAATTCTGGGAATGGTAGTTTGTTGGGGGCACCAGAGCTTTAGGATTGGAGGAACACTAGGTCCAAAACACACTTTAGAAATAATCCAGTTTGAGACCACTTTAACTGCCCTGGCTCAGTGCTAGGGAATCCTGGGAATTGAAGTTTATTGTGGCACCAGAGCTCTCTGACAGAGAAGGCTCAGTATCTTACAAAACTACAGTTCCCAGATTTCCCTAGCATTGAGCCAAAGCAGTTAAAGCAGGCTCAAACTGGATTATTTCTAAAGTGTGTTTTGGACCTTCGTCTGCATCTGCACTGCAGAATGAATGTAGTTTGACACTACTTTTAACTGCCATGGTTCTAATCCCATGGAATCTGGGACTTGTAGTTTGTTGTGGCACCAGAGCTCTCTGAGAGAAGGCTAAATGTCTCACAAAACTATAAATCTCATAATTCCATAGCATTGAGCTGTGGCTGTTTAAGTGTGGTCAAACTGGATTATTTCTGCTGTGTGGATGCAACCTAGGACAGAGCTGGGGAAAATGGATCCCTTCCAGATGTTTTATGAGAGTCCCAAGGCCAACTTCGCCTCACCTTTAGTTGGGAGTTTTAGTTCAAGAGAGTCACAAAAGAGGGATCTTCGGCTGGGCTGTGGCCAAGCTGATGACAGGATTCTGGGAGCTGCAGTCCAAACAGCAGCTGTCACCAGCTCTGATCTCCAGCTAGTGACAAGAGTGGCCAGATGTGCTCACCACAAAGGAGGACAAGGCACCGCAAAATGGAGGACATTCGACAAAAACAGGACATTACCAAATAAAAGCTGAAAACATTCATATAAATATAAATCCCTGCTGCTTAATCATGCTCAAAATGGAGGACATTTTGGAATTTCTCCTGGGCAAAAAGCTAAAATGTAGGACATGTCCTGGAAAGGGAGAGTGTCTGGTGATCCTGACTAGAGATTGTGCCTAGGAGGAGGGATATGGTGTTTTCAGCTACTCGGGCTTCAAATTTTGTGGCGTGTGACAACTCCTACAATTCTGACCATCAAACAACAAACACAACACACAGTTATAAAGACTCATGTCTTGTTCTTCTCCCAAGATCTCTAATTGCTTCCTGCCCACACAGCCTCTAGGGCTGTTAATCCTCTGCTTTGAAAACAAAATAAAACATTGCATCAAAGCAAAATTCTACACCAAGGAAATGTAGATCTGTGATAAGGACTAAGTACTGAGTGCCAGGGTGGTGTAGAGGTTTGCGTGTTGGACTGTGACTCTGGAGGTTAGAGTTCGAATCCCTGTTGGGCCACTGAAACTCACCGGGGACCTTGTGCAAGTCACACTCTCTCAGCCTCAGAGGCAATAGAAACATGCCAAGAAAACCCCTCTAAAGAAACATGCCAAGAAAACCCCATGATAACCCATCGCTTAAAGGTTGCTATAAATCAGAAATGACTTTAAGGCAGACTACAACAACTGAAATCTACCTTATCTGACCACTGGTTAATCTTGCTCAGACTTAACCATGTCCTCTGTTTATACTTTCAGTCCTGTCCTCATGGCCATAAGGACCAGAAACTTCTTTTTTCTTCTTTGGGAAAAAAAAAAGCTTTATCAATACCATGCAGAGCACCAGATACTAAATTTAAAATACTCTGCATAATACCATGTTTTCTTTACTAAACAATACTACATTCAAAAGCCCTCTTTTTCCATCTCCCAAGTTTTCTGTTCAATATGTGGAATTATAAACAGGTGTTGAAAGATTCACCTTCACCCCTTTGGGATCATTAATAAAAACCCTGATTAGCAATACAAAAGAGCTGGGGAAGTTCTTGTTTGAATTACAACTCCCTGAATTCTGCAGTACCAGCCATGTTGGCTTGGGAATTATGGTTGTTGTAGTACAAAAAAGTAACTTTTCAAAGCTCTGATGAAGAGTCATAACAAAGAAAAGAAGCAAGCAACCTTCATCACACCATGCAGAATTAACAGGAAATAACACAGCTGCAAGATGTAATGCTTAGGTGATTTTTAAAGAAGATTCACTCAATTTGTGGATAATAGGTCTACCGACAACCAATTCTCCATGGTATCCAAGTGGGACTTAAGGCACCGAGGAAGTGCACTGGGAAGAGAGGTTGGCTGCCTTTATTCTAGTCCGGTGTTACTGAATTTAAGACAGTGGATACAGCAAAGCATTTCTTGTTTGAATGAGAGTAGCAGGACCAGTTCAGCCATTGGGTAGTGAGGCAGCCGCATCAGACAGCCAATCTGGGATGTCATGAAAGGACAAGAAATTTTTGCATATTGTTATTTTATTTTCACTGCCAAAGAGTTAAATTCATCCAGTTTTCAGACTCAGGTGCCAAAATTGTTTTCCTGGCCTCAAGGATGATGCACACACCTTGACTTGTGTGGAGCATGGTGGCAGCAGAATAGCTTAGGATGCCCCTGGACAGTAGTTCCGAAACATCACAACACAATGAGCGCTTCCAAGTGCGAGAATAATCATTGGCGATCATCTCTTTGAAAAGTATCCAGTTATATGATGAGTGTTGAAGATATAATGGTTAGAGTGGAGGTGACAAAAGTGTGGCCTCCAGTAGACTCCCAATACACTTGTCCCTCCACATTCTCTGGGGTTAGGGGCACAGGACCCTCGTGAATGTGGAAAAACCACAAATAATGAAAACACTATGTTTTTATCTGAGAGAACACCTCTCTGGGATCTCTTAAGTCCTCCAGTGCAACTCTGTGGTCAACATCTGCCAGACATTAACCATACAATTGCGCTGAAGGAGCTACAAATGCCTAGTCGAATATTCTCTCTAGAAATCTCTAGGTCCTTCACTGCAACTTTTGGTTAAAGCTGATCACAGAGTTGTGCTGGAGGACCTAGATATTCCTAGAGAGAACATATTAATAAAATCTGTGAATAATCAAAGCCACAAAAGTCAAAGCTGCAAATGTGGAGTGTACATCTAGACTCCCCAAATTAAGAAAAATTGCAAACGATTCCTCACTCCTACTCCAGGGCGGCTCAAAAACATTGTAAAAACAGGAACCTTGTCCTCACAATCCCCTGAAATACCTTAGCTTGCCCCTAATACTGAAAACAAACCAGCCAAATATGAAACTAGAAGTGATATCAGGGCCCCTTCCCCAGTTGTTTAGACTTGTATTAGTGTTGGAATAGGATTTGGAGGAATCCAGGTTCAAGGCTGCATCTTTACTGCAGAAATAATGCAGTTTGACACTGCTTGAACTCAATGCTATGGATTTCTGGAATTTGTAGTTTTGTGAGATTTTTAGCCTTCTCTGCCAGAGAGTTCTGGTACCACCACAAGTGTCATTGTGTGGGAAGATACGGAGTAATATGCCCATGTTTCTGAAATCAGCCTGCTGTGTTATTCTTCTGAAATGGTGCCTTTACCTTCTTAGGTGGTGGATATACACCCTGCAAAAAGCAAAATGACGTGTTTTCCCCCTGCTCCCCCATGTTCTTAGTCTACTGTAAGCAATTTCTCAGTTAGAAGCCATTTGCAGTTCTCTTCCTGCTGAGAAACCACACAAGCAAATGAATGGCAAAGATAAACGGTACTCAGTATTGAAGAAGTGGGAAAATTAAAGCAAAACCAAGGTAAGGAAGTGGTCAGAGTAAGCAGACATGAAAAGAAGCCTTCTATAATTGTAAACATAAAAAGAGGGAGGAAAGATCTGCCTTAGGCCAGCTACATTTAAAACACTGAAATGGTGAAGTCTCACGTCTGCTAAATCTATCCATTTGAGGGGCAAAGTTGCAACCATCACATTTTGTCTTGTACTGAAAATGTGCTTACGTGTTAATTGATGCCAGAAAATACAATACCTAAACGATATGTGCATCTGTTGCATGGGTGGGTAAGAAGGAAGGGCAAATCCATGATATTTTGATATCTGAGCAGCAAATGGTGCCATCCTAAATACATATGTGGAAGGACGAGTGTACATCTAGATCAAGAGAAGTAATAGTGCCACTCTATTCTGCTTTGGT